TGGGTTCAATGGTTGTACAAGGCTAGTCGCACAAAAAAAAATCGCACAAAAACAGGTTTGACTGTCTTTTTCTATACGTGCAGGCTGCTGGTCCATTTAAATATCTTGACGACAATAACTTTAAAAGGAATAAATACTGCCTCAAAACGTTGTATGATTAAATCTTCTAGTGTTTCAATACGTTCTCATTGATTAAGATCAGTGATTAATTTATACGTATATATAAATGTCATATGTGAATGTACTTTTTCATCAGCTACACAATGCAATAAAAAAACTGTGGATATCAGTAATCATTTATCAGAATATTTCTCTGTCTATCGTCGCAATTCGAAAAGATATTTTATGCCGTGGATCGAGAGAGACACAGTCGCAGAGATTTCGAGGGAAACGGGACTGCCGATTATTCCATTTGCATTGCCAACGAACGACATTAAAAGCGCGCCCTTTCTTTGCACTGGAACGGTGAAAACGAAACGCTGCTTCCTTTTTACCTCGCAAACACTCGTGCCACTTTTGCTACACTTGCTGTTACACTGACTCGGTGCAGACGTTTTGTCGCGTTGAAAATTTTAATTGCGCTTCTCAAACAGGATCTACGTGTTCCAGCGGTCGAACAGCAGTGACTTGAAGCACGTGTTCGATGTTACCCTAGCGATTTCTCCACCGGTTGTTTGTTCCCATCGTAGATAGGATTCAACGTGAAAAGGTATTTTTTTACTCTTTCTCTTATCTTCTTGGATTAAAAATTTGCGCCCGAACGGGGAGACGACGAAACAGAGGTGATCTCCACGCTTTCAAGTTTCTCGATGGAACGTCTCTGAGACACGAAGACGTCATTAGAGTCACTACCTGGCGATAGAGATAACATTTAAGTAAAGATTAACAACTTTCCTTATCAAATTCGGCTACTAATCATTTTTTAACCGGCCTCAAATGACTCTGTCTCACGGTAACCTGGAAACGCGAGAGCGCAGCCAATTGTGTGACCAATCAAAGTGATCAAAATGACCAATTTATAATTCCTTTCTTAGAGTAATTCTGCAGACTTACAACATTGCGTTTTCCGCAGATTCGAATGATTTTTATAAAATGTATGAACTTTTCCTATCCCTTGCATTCTAATTTCTTTGGCACAATTTTTATGCTTTATCCCTCGGCAAGTTCTAGCGAGTTGAAAAGAAAGAAGAAAGTCGACAAGAAGGAAGGAAATACTTTGGTAAAGTTCCGCTGCTTGCAAGACACGTTGACTTTTTTTCAGCCTTCTTAATGATCATTAGAGCGAGACAAGTCTAGCTAAGGCACACTCGCCCGTTCGTTTATCATGCGAGAACCGTGTCACGTTCCTTTCCTTTTTCTTTCTCTTTTCGTTCTTGAAGTCTGCCTTAAATGCATTTCCCTCGCCAAGAGAGATTTTTTTCAATGACGAGGTACACGTACGTGAAAAAAAAAAGGAAAAAGAGAAAGCCAATGACGTCTCTGTGAAAAATAAATTTCAATGATTTGCTTGGTCGATTTTCATCGTCGAATAATTACCTTCATACCAGTACAAACAGAAGATACGTCAGTTGAACGTCGTTAATCGTCCGAATTCATTGAAATTAACGCGGCGATCGCAAGTGTAATAATTCCAACTTAATTTTGCTAGATAAAACTTCTCGTTTCAACCTTCGAGCTTCGTGTTTAATAATTTCACGGCAACGCACTTCCATGATATACACGTTCGAATTTAAATAACATACCGATGTTAATAAAAATTCGCTTCGAATTAAAAAAAAAAAAATTAAAAGAAATTAAAAAAAAAGAGAGAGAGAGAAAGAGACACGAAAGTGCTCAGGGAGCAATTTCACTTTCTTCTTTTCTTCGAGGCCTTGCTGATGGTCCGGGAGCGGATGTTCTTTACTTCCGGGAACGGTTCGTGAGATGGCTTCGCTTTGGGTCGTGGGAGACCTGGGCGGACAAACGGATCGTTACTAAAATTGGAAACTCGGCCTTTGTACGCGGCTCATGCCGGCGATAAGCGGGCCAAGAATACCGATAAGGAAACACAGGATAATCCGTCGCACGTCGTCGGTGGTAAAAACCGATAATAAAATTCCTTTACGAGAGGCCAGACCGAGATTAACCTCGTTACACGGATTCACCGTATAACCCGCCCGTCGGGTTTATTATACACGCGCAACATTATACACATAATTAAAACCAACTTCCACAGACGGATCAGAGCTTCAACCACTTGATCGCCTGCGCGCCAAACCCTAAACAAC